TTCTCTTCCATTAGAAGTCACTGAGAAGGTTGGGGGCGCGGCTCAGGTGGTAAGTGCCTCCTAGCAGAACAAGGCCCTGAGTTCAAACCCTGGAAGAAGATCCCACTCAGAGAGCCTACTTTTTTTAGAGGAAGATTGTAAACTGTACTCTGCCTGTCCAATATGGCAGCCACTCGGCCCATGTGGCTCCAATCATTTAAATGTAAATAATTGAAAACTGAATTAAATAAAAACTTCTGAGCTGGGCATGGTGGTATATTCCTGTAATCCTAGATACTCAGGAGGTAGACCAGAGGATCAAGGTTCAAGGCCAGCTGAACCTTGATCAGTTAGAGTGAGAGCCTATCAGATATAGTGAGACCCTATCTGAAAAACAAAAACAAACTAAAAGCAAAAAGGACTGGGGGGCCACGGCTCAAGTGGTAGAGTGTTTGCCTAGCAAGTGCCAGGTCTTCAGTTCAAAAACTTCAGCCCCTTAGAGTAGCAGCCACCAGCATATTAAGGCTCAAGAGCTACCTTTGGCCAGTGGCTACTCCATTAGATAGCCAGATATAGGACATATCCACGTTAGCAGAAATTTCTATTAGACAGTGTAATCCCAGTGTTCTCTAATGGTCATGCTCACTATTGTAGTTTGGATCTGGAATGTCCCCAGAGGCTCCTATGTTGGAGACTTGGTGCCCAATGCAGTATGGTCAGAGGTTATTGGATCATGAGGCCTCTAACCTCATCAGTCAATGCATTAATCTACTGATGGATTCAAAGTTCATAGACCATGGGGAAAGGGTGGAAACTGTAAGAGGTAGGTCCTAGTTGGAGGAAGCAGGTCACTGGTGGTGGGCTCTTGAAGGGTGTATCTTATTATCGTCTTTGCTCTTTCTTTCTCTTCCTGCTTCCTGGCCACTACGAAGTGAGCAGCCTTCCTTTGCCATGTTCTTCTTATGCATCGTCTCACCATGGGCCCAGAAACAATGGAGCCAAGTGACCATGGATTGAAACTGTGCCAGAATAAATCTTTCCTTCTTTTCTATTGCTTATCTCTGATATTTTTTCATACTAGCAAAAGATGACTTACACTCACTCTGTATAAGCCAGGACCCTTATGTACAATTTTTTCCTTCCAAAGTTGTTGAAGGCTAGGGGTGTGGATCAAGTGGTACAGCACCTGTCTAGGAAGAATGAGGCCCTGAGTTCAAATCCCCGGAACCACCAAAACCAACAAAGAAAGAAAATTGTGTTGAAGACTTGTCTTCTGTGGGTATGTATACAGTGGTTTTGCTTGTTTGTTTTTGCTTTTTACTTATTTTTGCAGTACTATGGATTAATTCCATAACCCTGGGCATACTAAGCAAGTGCTTTACCACTGAGCTGCATCCCCAAGCTCCTGTAGGAATGTTCAAAAAATATTTTAAAGTGTTTTATTGGGCTGGGGGCAAGGCTCAAGTAGTACAGTACCTGCCTAGCAAGTGCAAGGCCCTGAGTTCAAACCCCAGTATCACCAAAAAAAAAAAAAAAAAAGAATCTTAAAGCGTTTTATTGACTACACTCTTATACACTTTTACCACAAAATATGTATACCATTTTATTATTTGTTTTTAACTGACAAAATTATATCTCTATAGTGTATAACAGTGTGTGTGTGTATGCGTGTGTGTGTGTGTGTGTATCTCAATGGGTAAATGGATCTAGCTAATAAGTGCATTACTTTACACACTTGTCATTTTTTGTGTTAAAACACTTCAAATCTATTCTCTTAGAAATTTCCAAATATATAATACTGCTATTATTAACGATCATCACCATGTTGTTCAGTATTTTTAAAAATATGATTGGAGTTATTTGTCTACAGAACATTTTTTCACAGCTGAATTAAAGGTGTAGCCAGGGCTGGGGTAGCTCAAAAAAAAAAAGGCACAGTCAAATCATGGACGCCTCGGTGCTGCCAAAGTCTAACTATCTTGACTATCTTGTTATATTTATTTTGACCCATGTGTTTTCTTAGTCCTTTATCATCTGTTCCAAGTTTAGATTCCAGTACTGGCCACTAGGTGGAGACAGGACTCTACTTTATATTGTCTAGACGGAACTATTTCAATTCAGATCCTTTGCAATGGCTATTCTGGCAGTTTCCTAAAAAACTTTAACACATTTTTTATAAGAATTAAAAACAATCCATAATTTAAATTCCTTGAAATTGTCTAAAATTTGGACATCACATGATGAAATGACTTCCCTTTTGGTATAAAATGTCAATTAAAATGATTTACAAGCATAATCAACTATGTAGCTAGACCCTGACTTATTACAGTTTGACTTACAAGCTTTCAAAATTAGTGTGCATAAGCCATATGCATTCAGTATAAACCATATATATTTTTTGAAACAGAACTATGTAGCCAAGACTGGTCTCAAACTTGCAATCCTCCTGCCTCAACCTCTGGAGTAGCGGGATTACAGGCATGAATCACCACATCTGGCTCAGAAAACATACTTTGAATTTTGATGTCTTCTAGGACAGTGACATGCAATATAATACTCACCTGTGATGCTGGTCAGTTTCAGTGAGATGCTGCTCGCAGTCAGCCACATGATCACGAGTATAAACAACCAATACCCTGCAATGTACTGTATTCAATAAATCACCTGAGATACTCATAAGCTGGTTATGTCAGAGATGTCTATCTCTGATGGTCCATCATGTTTGATGCCATTTTTCCTGCAACTCTGGGGCTTACCCTGTCTCCTATGTGCTCAGGCCCCCAGAAGCACATATTTTGGATCTGCAATGTGAGTGCAGGAACCACAGTTTCTTATCCCGGTAGGAGGTGGGTCTAAACTGTTTCCTCTGTCCTTGGTACTGCCTTAGCATATAGGGTGGAAGGCAGTAGGCAAGGATGGTTGGGAAAGACTGTGGTTGGATATCAGTTTTAATATTCAGTGCTTGAAGGCTGTAAGGGTGGAATTTATGTGCTCTTTGTCTGGGGATTTAATGTAGGCATATTTTAAGACTTTCCAGAATTCTCAAGACCCTTTTCCATATTTAAGTGACTGGATTATTTTTTCATATTTATTTTCTGTTGCATAGATTTTTTCATGTGTTGGCTCTGAATCCAAAAAGGAAAATGAGAAGGAAAAGGTTATTGCTTGCCTACTGGATACTGTCATCATGTCATTAAGAGACAGTTGAAATTGTTACACAAAGTAAGCAATAGCATTGTCACACATAGATTTAGAGGAAACGAAGCTTATCAGGATTATTTTTTTTTTTTCAGTGCTGGGGTTTGAACTCAGAGCCTACACCAGCTCTATTTTTGTGATGGGTTTTTTCAAGATAGGGTCTTGAAAACTATAATGTCTGGGTTGGCTTTGAACCGGGATCCTCCTCATCTTTGTCTCCTGAGTAGCTAGGATTACAGGTGCGAGGCACTGGCGCTATGCTTGAGTATGGTGTTTTAACTGGACAAGGGCCATGTCTCCTCATGGGGTTTGGAAATGAATCTAAATTTGTGTCTTGCCTTGTGATAGCTGTGTGACCCTCCAACACTTAGTTTCCACATTTTGGGGGGATGTTGCTGAGGTTGGGTCTCACTGTGTACCCCAGGCTGGCCTGGTTTTCGAGATCTTCCTAGCCCAGCCTCTCCAGTACTGTGATTACAGGTGTGCACCTGCATGTCAGCTTATACTTCTAGATCAGTGATGTCTGTGTCTGTACCCTCAGCTCTTACTTCTCCTGGAAATGGGACAATCTGGTCTCCAGATGCAGGAGCAATCTGGAAGGGGAACTGTGCTACATGAGCACCTGTAGCTTGTGGGAACTGACCAGGGATCCACAGGCCCAGAAGTTGCTTCTGAGAAACCAGGCAGAGGGAAATCACCACCTTTTGTTAAGAGCCACAGAGCCCTCAGTATGTGCTTGAAGAGGAAATAATCTATATTCTCCACGAAAAGGACAGCTAAACTCGTTCTCCACCTAGACTTAAAGAAAACCTCATATGAAACTCAAAACCATAATCATTTTAGATTATGAAAAAAGACCTGTTTTTAGAAACTGCTACACATATTGCTTTGGTCTTTGAACAATGGAGATGCATTTCACGCTGTGTGAATTATTAGTACTGGAAGGAGGTCTGGGCAGGCTGATGATTACATCGGGTATCTTCTACCTGATGCATTCAAAAGGCTACACTGTATTTAGTCAAGTAGCATTTGATGTATGTGGTTTGTTTTTGTTTGCAGTATGAGGTTTGAACTCAGGGCCTCTCACTTATTAGGCAGGCAATCTACCACCTGAGCCACTCTGTCAGCCTTTTCTCCAGTTGGATAGGGTCTCATTTTATGGCCAGACCAGTCTGGTCTGCAATTCTCCTCTTTATGCTTCCCTGTGTAGCTGGAATGACAGGCACACATCACTGTATCTAGTCTTTGGTTGAGATGGGGTCTTGTGAATTTTTGCTTGGGCTGGCCTTACACCATGATCCTCCCAATCTCTGTCTCCCAAGTAGCTGGAATACAGGTTTAAGCCACCAGGCCCAGCTTAAGAAAATGTTTAAAGTTGATTACATAATGTTTATAATCTTTAATTCTGATATTCATAACACTTCTTTTTTTGTGGCACTCAGGGCCCCCGCTTGCTAGGGGGCCACTAGTGTGGCCACTTGATCTACACCCCCAGTCCTTCATCACACTTCTTAATGCTAATTGTAAAATAAAGCATGCTCTTAACAAGTTATATGTTGAATCAGTGAATATGAGTCCTATAACTCCGATTCACAGTCTTCTCACCAATGAATATCTAAGAATACTGGTCCCAGACCTGTGTGGATGAAGGGAGCAAACATGACCAGTGACAGTCCAATGAACTGCAGTGAATTCAGAAGAGGTCACATCCAACTGCCAACCGTATGTGTTGTAAGGTTATCCCACTGCTCCACTAGCTCTGACTTTACCAAAACCTTAAAAGCAGCAGTGCAAGAGATGTGCATATGCTTAAAAAGAAGACAGACAATAACATTGGATTTTTATTATTTATGGAGCTAAGGAAAATGGAATTTGGTTGAAGGCCTCATGAAAGAAGCAGTGCATTGAAGCAAAGAGTAGAACTAGACAAACTAGTTTCAGGGCAGCAGCATCCCCTGGAAAGCTGGGGTTTCATGTCAGAACCAGACTCTGAAACTAAAGAAACACAGAAAAATCCTTGTTCCAAGACACATATAGTCTTTTGATTCAGATCAGGAACCCTAGGGAGGTAAAGAAAACGTTATTCCAAGCTGCTGATCCCTCTGCCTCTTAATCCCAGGACAGAAAAATTATGTTTTTTAGGACCGAGTCATGGTGTGGTGAAAAAGTCTCTGTTGGTTTCATTCTCAATGGGTAAAGCAGTGAATGCTCTCTCTCCACACTCACCCAAGGGCTGAGGTTGAGAGGAAGTTCAGGCCTTCGACTCTTTTCCCCTACAGTCAGAGTCCCAATGCAAAGGACGCGCTTAACAACTTTCTGCAACCCACCCCCTCAAGAAAAACACAGGGATCTTACCGTTTATCTAGATCCTTGCTGAGCTGAAAAGATACGAGGAAAGGAATGTATTCAGTCATCAAAACCTTAGACAATAAGTGACACTTTCCATCCCATCTTCCATTGCCATAGTGACACGGACGCCGCAGGAACCCAAGCACCTGGCATCTGGTTGTGCCAAGACCCCAGCCTGGGCATTCCTCTTTCCCTCCAGGCCGACTTTGCTCTGACATTCTGATGTCAGTGGCCTCCACAGCCCTCCACCAGCATTACTTTTCTATCTCGGTCCCTCATTGTGGAGATGGACAGTATGACAGCGTACGGGGAGCCTCAGCCAGGTGGCAGGCTTGCTCACCTTTCTTGCTTCTCACATGCACGACAACGCCCACTACAAGGAAGATGAGCCCCAGCACGAAGCCCCCAACGCCAGTCAGCTTCTTGTTCCGGGCAGAATCAGACTGTGCCTCTGAGAAAACAGAATCCAGGGTTAATATCACTCCCACTGGCCACACCCCTTCTTGGGTCTTGTCTAAGATCCCGGAGTCAGATGTAAAATAATAGCATGGGGACAGTGAAAGAGATGCACTGTGGAGGAGTAAGTTTATTTTTTGAGATAGGGTCTCACTACATAGGCCAGGCTGGCCTGGAACTCAGGATCCTCCTGCATTCTTCTCCAAATGCTGCAGTTCTAGGCATGTACCACACTATTCCCAGAGAGGAGTAGACTTACAAAGAGCCTCTAAGTTCTGTTTTTAAGCTGTCTCTCAAAATAAGGCAGAACAGATTAAAAGCTGGAGGAACAGAATGGTTCCCAAGTGTGAGAGCAATTCAAGAAAATGTGTGATCTGAGGGGGAGATCCTGAATTGTCAGGTCCCCCAGACCAGGGACAGGCCCATCTGTATTGCCTCCAGCTCAGAACCACACTCAGGGGCTTGTACAGGAAGACAAAGGGGCAGATCTGGTCCCAGTGTCCCTGCATTTCAGAGTGTGGGATTTAGAAGGGTCATTGGTGGTAACTCACTCCAGTCCACTGTGATGGGGCTCTGGAGGCTGGGGTGCTCCACATGGCAGGTGTAGACGTCTCCCTGCTGGGGCATCATTTCCAGCATCACCAGGATCTGGAAGGTCCAGTCCCCATCACGGATCAAGTTGGTGGACACCACCCCAGCTGTTTCCTCCTGTCCATTCAGGAACCACCGCACTTGAATGTTGCCTGGGTAGAAATCTGTCACGTGGCAGACAAGCAGGTCGTGGTGCTGCAGGGTCCCCTTCTTGGAGGGTGACACATGTACGTTAGGCTGGACTAGGAGACAGCAGGAAAAGGAGTGACATTTGAGATGGTTATTTCTTACATGCTTTCATTAGGAAAGTGTTTTCTAGATGTTTAAGCTGTAAATACCCTAATTAGGCTAGTGGATATGAGGTTATACTGAAAAAGATGGAGCTGGATCCTCAAATGGAATATACACGAGGTCTAATTACTTATGAAGATTGGGAAGATTAGGAGTAACACAAAGCAGCACTTTGGGGCACATTTAGTAGAAATTTTCACTATAAACCATCAATTAATAGTCTTTTGACAAAGAATGGAACTACCTATGCTTTAATTGCTTCATCTTGAGAAGATGCAGTGTTTGCTGAAATGAGTTTTTTGCAGTATTGGTGATCAAAACCAGGGCCTTGCCCAGACTAGGCTCTACCACTGAGCTCCAGCTCCTGCCCTCAAATGATTTTTGAAGTTAAGATTAACAGAAAATGGCATTCTCTTAATCTACCAGTCTAATAATTGTATATCATAAAATTAAAAGTACATGAAACAAGTTTGACAATGACTTATTTTTCAAAAAATGTACATATTTTATGGCTTTCCTTACCCATGAAACCCCAGTATTTTCATATTAACAGCAACAGCCTCAAACTGAATATTCTAGCCCCATCTACTTGAGGAGTAGGAATTCCAGTCCATTCTCAAGTGCCTCCCCTGCAGTGCTGTCTGTACACCTTCACCTGTGTTTGATGTACCTTTCTGTCCTCCTTTCCCCACCCATCTGGAAATGCTGCTCAAAGTAAATTTCCATGCAGCTGCCTACCTCTGGTGACCTCCCCACCCTCCCCATAGATGCTACTTTTGAACATCTGTCAGCAGTACCTTCCTCCCCTCCAGAGGCCAGAAAAGATCTATCTGCCTCTAGAGAAAAGCCCATCCACAGGAATTTCCCTCATCAGGGCTTCTGTGTCCTTAATAATGTATTCTTTCTTGTCTATTTTGTACTTCCCAGAGAACACAAAAACCCTGGATGGGACAGGGTCAGCTAAAGCATATTCTTGAACAACACTTGGAACTGTTGTTTATTTTAACAAGTTGGCTTTGTGCCCGGACTTCTTCCACTCAAGGTAATTTATTTTAGGGATGGCTTTTACTTCAGCCAACTTTTATAAGCTCAGAGTTTACCAGTCGTTCAACTCCTTTCTGAGTTGCATTGTGACTTAGGTTAAATTTCTCTCTGTTAGGATTCCTGGGTCTCAGGTAAATCAGGGCCTGTATCTGGTTGTCTTTTTTAAGGCCAGCACATTCCATAAGGTATTTTGCCTGGAGAATACAGCTGACTTCTAGGGGGCGCTAGAGCTGAGTCAACAGGCCCAGTGGCCTCATTTATCCAGATGAAAATACATTTCACAAAGGCAAAGGATTTCCATGTATTCTAAGGCTGCCTTGTTGAGTGGTCACAAAACATCTGTTCAGTTTCTTCTAGAATTTTGTCATCGATCCACATTAGAAATCCCACAGCTCTCTGTCACTCTCCCTTTCTCTGTTTTCTGCTCCCTTGTCACTCATGCCCTAATTTCCTTGACATATTCTTCTTAAAACACTGGGCATGGAGGCATAGGCCTATAATCCTGTGGAGGCTGAGGCAGGAGGATATGAGTTAGAGGCCAAACTGGGTTTCATAGTGACACACTATATTAACAACAGCAGCAACCATGACCACCACCACCGCAACCATTAGGGTCTGGCAACACTTAGCTGGTTATAGGGAATTTGTAACCAGCTGGGGAGATAACTAAAAACATGCATTTCTAGATCTCACCACCTACTGAATGTGGATCTCTGGGCACTGATTTGGGGAATCTGTGCTTTTAAGAATGTCTCCAGGGCTGGGTGCTGGTGGCTCATGCCTGTAATCCTAGCTTCTCAGGAGGCACGGATCAGGAGGATTACAGCTCGAAGCCAGCCGAGGCAAATAGTTCTAGAGACCCTATCTTGAAAAAAGCCATCAGAAAAAGAGCTGGCGGAATGGCTCAAGGTGTAGGCTCTGAGTTCAAACCCCAGAACCAAAAACCAAAAACCAAAACAAAAAAACCTCCAGGGGATTTTTTGCTGAGCAGAGAGCTAGTTTGGGACCCACTAGCCTAGGTGATCTAACCCAAACTTCTCTTTCCAATCTGGCAAGATTAGGATGAAGGAAATGGTACCACATAGCAGACTTGTACCTGTTGTATATTATTAATACAGCCCTACAATCGTGGCCAATCCTATTTCTTGATTTCTTGCCTTTGGACATTGTCTCATCTAATTACTTTGGCAACTTTCTTAAACGCAGGTCACTTTCCTGATTTCTCTCCAATTTGATCTTTTTCTCACTCTTAGCAAATGACCTTGCTTCCTACTTTCTCAAAAAAAAAAAAAAAGAGGAATCAAAATTTTCCCTTCCCTGCCCCCGCCAACCCACAGTGTCTCCCTTTTCTTATTCTTCAGCCTTTTCCTTTTCCCTGTGATGTTTTCCCTCTCTCAGGATGGCATCAGGTCCTCCCACTCTCCAAGCTGAGAGGAAGAAGCCAGGGCTCTTCTGTCCTATCTTCCAAAGTCCTCGTGGTTCTGCACACCTCACCTCTCTTCTCTTTATACTTGGCCTTCCTGAAGGAAGACAATTCAGCTCAAACACTACATAACAGTGACCTGGAGTCCAAGACAAGGTACCACCTCAGTCCCTGAGAGTGGAGCTCCACCCTCAGCCTGGTTCCTGCCCTCGCCTCTCTGCCCATTTGGCCCAGGTCCTGCCTCCACCTGCGGGCAACCTGCCCTCCCTCCAAACCCACCTTTCAACCTCTGTTCACTATCTTTCAAGGTCATGGGTACCACTGTCTGCCGTTCCCATGTCACCTTCCCTCAGCTTCTTTCTATGACACTCTCTGCCCTGATTGTTCTAACACTGACTCTGCTTGCGGGTCACCTTCACAGGCTTTTCTCTTAGCCAGCACAAGCGCCCGCGATCCTAGGAGTCAGTCCGTCCGTCTCTCCTCCCTGGATCGGGTCTGCCCCTGTCTCATCAGACCCTGTCCACGAGGCCTCAGCTCTCCTCCGCGACGTCTCTGCCCGACCCCCGCCGGTCCCCTCGTCCCGCGGCCGGCCCGCACCAGGCCTGATGGGCGCCTGCCAGTTTCTCCCTCCACTGCGGGTTCCCTCACTTCACCCTCGCTGCCGTGGACAAATCTGCGGACCGACCCCAAACCCCATCACCCCCAGCTCTGCCGTCCCCTTCCCGGCCCAAGGCCGCCCGGCTGTCCCCGCGGCCCCGTGACCCGCCCGGCCTCACCTCGGCGCTTCAGGGTGAAGCCCTCGTTCAGCTCGTAGTTGTGTCTGCACACGGTGTCCACCGAGGCCCGCACGCGCTCCAGGACGTCCTTCTGGCCGTTCCAGTACTCGGCGTCGGGCCGCCCCAGCTCGGTGACCGCGCGGAACTCCCCGACGTCGCTGTCGAAGCGCGCGTACTCCTCCCGGTTGTAGATGTGTCTGTCCACCAAGCGCTGCGTCCCGTTGAACGCGTAGCATTCGTACAGTCTCTGGATCAGGTAATTCTCTGCGGGTGGAGAACTACCTGAGCCGGGGCGCGAACCCGCGACTCACCTCCTCCACCCCGTCCCCGCCCACACTCGGGGCTCAGCGCCGCCGAGGCGCTCTTCACCCACCGCCCAGTGCAAGGCGGCCGCTGCTCCACCCAGTCCTCCCACTCAGGGCTGGACCTTGAGACACCATTCTCTCTAACAGTCTCTAGGCCGCCATTTCTCACTCGTGATGAGAGGGTGTACTGAATTTAATTTAAGGTGACGTTGCTGACCGCGTGACCGGGTGACCTTTGGAAAGGGACAGGCACACTGAGGAGGTCACCAGTTCTGGCAGAGGAGGGGCGACACTTCATGTGGGGTCACCAAAAGAAGCAGAATGTCACCAGAGCACAAAGTCCCCAGGGCAGAGAAACCGCGGGGGCAGGAACTGCGATGGAAAGAGATCCTGTTCTCTCTGTCTGGGTCCCTGTCTGACACTGCCATCCCTGAGGCAGTCTTGGCCCAAATGTCACCTCCTCCAGGAAGCCTTCCCTATTCCTTCTCTTTCATGTACTTTCATGCTCTCTCTTCTGAGCCAGTGTATTGTTTTGCTTGCTGGAAATGTAAAAGTTTCCTTAAACTTTGATATAAATAAAGGCTTCCTAGCCTGAAAGTTAATGTATCTTTTCACTTTTCAAACTTGGTGGTGGTCTGGGAATGTAGCTCACTGGCAGACCACCTCCCTAGCCTGGGCAAGGCCCTGGGCTTGATCCCCAGCACAGCAAAACAAACAAACGAACAAACAAACAGTCTCTCAAATTGGCTGTAGGAAGACTTGATCCAAAAGATGTGGAATATTCCTTAATCAGTGAAAATCACCCCAGCAATCAGAGACCTATGTGGGTGGACTCTGATGTTCCTAGAGGCACTGCTGGTGGAGTTTTTATGTAAAGAAACATGGCATGCTGCTCTTCCTACGGCAGGCCACCAGCAGCGTCTGACAAGCACATATCAACAAGGAACTGTGATCTTCCTTATTTATTTGCTTCTATTTGAGTCTCTTTGGGTCAGATCTGTTCTTGGTCACATTGAGGAAATTAGGGTGGTGTGGTTACTTTGCATGTCCGTTTCATCCTCTATAAATTAACATTTCAAGAAAAATAGTTGCTGTTTTTTTTTCATATACCTAACATAGCTCTCAGTAAATTTTTATTAGTCAATCAATGAACCAATAAATAAAATGAATGATGTGCCTGGACCATGAGAGGGAGCTCTAAGCATGTTTATTAAGTGTGTTTTTAAACTAGTAATCTGTTACTTTATTAAAAAGGAGCTGGGAGCTGGTAGCTCACACCTGTAATCCTAGCTACTTAGGAGGCAGAGATGAGGAGGAGTGAGGCTTGAAGCTAGTCTGGGCAAATAGTTCAAAAGACCCTACTTTGAAAAATTCCATCACAAAACGGGGCTGGTAGAGTGGCTCAAGTGGTAGAGCGCCTGCCTAGCAAGTGTGAGGCCATAAGTTCAAACCCCAGAACCATCAAAAAAGCCCAAAAGATGTCAGAACTTTAAATGCCAGATGCACTCCATCACACAGCTTCTGAGACCACATTTAACGTATGAGTATGGTGGGGTTGCAAATTGGTTTTTATATATGATGCTTGCCTGCTTTTCACCATGCGAGGGGAAAGCTGAGAGGAACTAGGAAAGCCAAAGACGAGGAGCCCAGAGCCCCAGATGAAGCTGCACTGCCTCCTCCAGCTTCAAATATTGGAGAGCATTTCTTTTTTTTTTTTTTTGTCCTTTTTCTTTTATTATTCATATGTGCATACAAGGCTTGGTTCATTTCTCCCCCCTGCCCCCACCCCCTCCCTTACCACCCACTCCGTCCCCTCCCTCTCCCCCCCCAATACCCAGCCGAAACTATTTTGCCCTTATTTCTAATTTTGTTGTAGAGAGAGTATAAGCAATAATAGGAAGGAACAAGGGTTTTGCTGGTTGAGATAAGGATAGCTATACAGGGCATTGACTCACATTGATTTCCTGTGCGTGGGTGTTACCTTCTAGGTGAATTCTTTTTGATCTAACCTTTTCTCTAGTTCCTGGTCCCCTTTTCCTATTGGCCTCAGTTGCTTTAAGGTATCTGCTTTAGTTTCTCTGCGTTAAGGGCAACAAATGCTAGCTAGTTTTTTAGGTGTCTTACCTATCCTCACCCCTCCTGTGTGCTCTCGCTTTTATCATGTGCTCATAGTATTGGAGAGCATTTCTGACAACAGAATAGGCCTGAAGTTTCCAGGGGTGATTGTAGAGGTCACTGTAGGGGTGACATGACTGCTGTCTTTGTCCCCACAGTGATAGCTAGAATAACTGACTCATCTGGGGGTTTTGTCCCACCCAAGGCTCAGGAGAAGTTGCACAGGACAAAGGGGAGGGTGTGGCTGGCCTCAAAGGCACCATAAAGCCTTCAGTCCTCAGTGCCAGTGCTTGACTCAGATTCACAGTTGCCTCTTCTGCTGGTCCTCTCATCCTGAGGCCCCAACCCCTTTTCGTGCAGATTCTTGCTCCCTGGGGTGGTCTCAACAAACCTTGTCTTCCCCCAGCCCCCTAGGCTGCTCTTTCACACCTCTTCTGTTCTGGTTTTTTTTTTTTTTTTTTTTGGCAGTACTGGGGTTTGAATTCGGGGCCTCATGCTTGCTAGGTAGGCACAATCCTCATGCCTTTTCTCTTCTGCCTCGTTTGAGGTTGGGGATCTGTGTGGAGTTGGAAGAGTATGAGGGGCATTGGGTAGTGACTACTGAACATTTCTCCAGGCAGGGTGCCCTAGGAACCCCCCTTCAATCCTGTTCACACAAATCTCGATCTCCCCTTTGCCCCTCACCCCCTCGTCATCACACGCATACCTCAGCTCTCTGCCCACCCCACTGCTGGCATTTCCTGACCACTTTCGTTGCCTATTATCCCATGAAGCAACTTCCTACGGTATGCTGGCACAGCCCCCTCACCAGCTGCTGGCCATTTTTCAGTGTCATCCAGATGCATTTCCTGGCTTCTCTTTCCTGCCCCTCTCCAGTTCCTGACACTTTGAAGACACAGTTCCCATGGCTGAGCTGTCCTGCTAGTTGGTTTCAACACCCTTTGTATCAACAAGAGCAAGTTCTCCCTCCCTCCTCAGCAAGTGGACCTGATGTAACAGGAGACGGCCCTGGGGTTTGAGGGTCTGGACTTTGTTCAATACAGTTACCCCAGGAAAATGAGGGAGTGAAATGAGGACAGTATATGAAGGGGTCTATGAAGGAAGGGTGAAAATTAGTGATAAACTAAGTAGCTACTTTATAGCCCTTCTTCTTACACTGTTGGGTATAAATTTGGAATAGACAATTAAGAAGCATCCTGGGAGAGGAAGGTTGGCTCTTAGAAGCCTGGATACTCCACTAGCCTCAGGGAGGTAACATGAGTAAGAGGTCTTTTCTTGGTCATCTCTTCTGTACTGTCTGACCATCTACACATCCTTTCCACATACCTACAGGTCCTCATCTCATCCTTTCCACGAGTCTCTAAGAATCTAGTGAAGATCTGGGAAAGCTGGAAGAATCACCTTCAACGAGAACGCTATCAGGTAGAGCCATAGCCTGTCCCATCTTTCTCTCAATCTCGCAGGCTCCCACCCTGCCCCGGGAGTAGAAGACACTCTCTTTGAGCACTGAGTTGGCAAGGTGATCTTCGTCCCCTTGAGGCTGTGATGCATATGTGAGGAAACCCAGGGGGCTGAACCTGTTTTTTTTTTTTTCTCTCTGAAAACCTTGTACCCAGTTACTCCAGATCTCACAGCCTGTTGTCCACATGACACAAGCAGCCCACCCTGGGCACCTGGTGTCCTTGGGTAAGGGAACAGGTAGGCTGGATAGCAACCAGGAAGCGAGCCTGATTCTCTAGATGGGAGCCAAGGGCATGGTGATATGGCAGGCACCCCCACAGCCGCTCTCAAAATCTGGTCCCTAAAAGGAAAGGCCTCTAGGAATGGTTTCCTGAGCTAGGCCCTTCAGGAATAGCCGCTCTGCTCTTACCTGGAGTGGCCCTGCCCTGGACCACAGGGTTGCTCAGCACCATCAGCAACATGGTCAGAGCCACTGTCCTGGGGACCTCAGGGACCATCGTGGGGCTGGAAAAGCCTTCTGAGATGGAGAGAGTAGCAGTGAGGGAATGAAGGACTCGCTAAATGAGCTCCTTGATGAACTATCAGAGACCATGGCCAAAGTAGTCGCCTGTGTTCCTGGGATTAGATAGGCTCTGAGAAAACAACCAATGGGCATGGAGCTTTCTATGAGTCATCAGTCACTGAGCAGATGGCTAGTGTGAAAGGTCTGTTGATTTAGTGTATGATGCACTTAACTGTACAATGCAATTTAGTGTATTATAGAGGGAGGCTAGTGACACTTACCTTAACCAGCTGGATAAGTCACAAGGCTTGGGAGATTATGGGTTTTCTTTTCTCTGAACATGACCTCAAATATTTCTGCTGGCTCATCTATGGGGATTATTATTTCTGCAACCTTGCTGCTTCTCACACACCCTCACGATGTGGGATGTAGTAAATGCCATTTTAGTGTTTAAAAGGTTATTCAGTGGCATGATTTATAAATAGAGAGATTAAGTGTTTGTTTCAGAACTCAAAATGAGTCTTGGAGTTCATCTGCCTTGCTTTTGCTCAAGGGGGATGTTTAGGATTGTCGCCCATCCACATTTTCTTTCAGAGGTCTGTTAGTCCTGAGAGTCACAGAGGACCCAGGGTCCCTCCACAGGGCTCTGTCAGGGTCAGCGGGGCTCCTTCCAGAGCCATTGCACCTGGGAGCTGAACTACTAAATAAGCATGTCACTTGAAGAACACTGCCTGTTTTTGTAAAGTCCGTAAGGAATATAAATAGACCAGTGAATAAGGAAGAAAAAAAAATCATCAAAGACCCTATCTCTTTCAAAATACCTTACTCTGTCGTGTTCATTGTGAATATTTTTACATTCAAAGAACATTACTCTCTATAACTTATAAATGCAATCTGCTGGACAACATACTGATAATGAAAATGTCAAGCTAACATCATTTCTTTATTCAGATATTAAAATGTAAATAAAATGGTACATATAGAATGGAAGAAAAGAAAAGAATTATATAGCATAAAGCATTTGTTGGAAATGAGAAGTCAGTATACAATTGTGAAATAAAAGCTCAGATTCTTCAGTGAAACTACCTGGGTTGACTGTCTCTTTGTCACTGATCTGCTATAGGTAATCAGAGAAATATTAATTTCTCAATGTCTTTGGTAACATTTTTAGAATATATATTTATAATACTGGTCTGATGGGAGGATTAAATGACATAATGCTGGTTAAGTACTAAATATAGCCTCTCTCTGTACCAACCAGTTAATAATTATTATTTATATATGGCAAGGCTTCCACAAAAAGAGAATAACACTAAGATAACATGCTTCATTGTTATATTAAGTATCAAGTGCTTTGTAATCTTACTTATGGATACCAAAGGAATACTTTAAATAAAGATCTTTGTAATAAGACTAGAAAAGCAAGGCTTTATATGGCAAAGAAAATGTAAAATTAAAATTGAGATTACTTGTAATAGGAAAACATTAGGAAACTTCCTCTTAAAAACCAGATCAAAAAGGAGGGGGGTTTACTGTATATGGGTATTCTTGTGTGAAAATTAAATAAAATGGATAGTAACTTAAAGAGAAAAATATTATTTCAGATGGCTTATATATCGGGAAATTCAAGTAATAAGAAACCTAGTTAATAAGAATTATTTAGAAATCTCACTAACTAAGGTAAGCAGGAATAGGAAAATCCTTACAGATCAAGTTCATTCAAGTTCATGAAAACCTCTTGATAGAAACTATAAAACTTCCATATAAAATCAAATAGAAAGAAGATATCTCAGGTGGGTCTGAAGGAAATATTTTTTATTGGATAGTGCATTTATCCCTAAATAATAGCTGAATATTTTTGTAAACCTGATGAAATAATTTTAAAAATCTTTAAGAAAAATGTAGTAGACAAAATACCAAAGATAACCCTGCCTGGATACTTGTGTGGGAGTGGGTGTAGGAATGCAGGAAGACTAAGCCTATCACACAGCATGCAAGCATTTGCCGTCAGAAGCATGTTTGACTTATCTTTTTGGGTCTCTTTCTCTACCTGTGGAAATGCTCTGTGATTTGCGGTTCCCTTGGTTTCCTGGAAATGCTCTCCAGCCTCTTCCAGTTTTCTCTTTACCCAGCAACAGAGGGTGTCAGCTCTATTACTTGTGTGATTGGTTAAGCCTAGCCATGCTGATTCTTCCGACCCTTTTTGGTCATTGTCAGGCTATAGAAGCCCAGAATTTCCCAGCTCTTGTCTGTCCCCATCCTGCCTCAGTTCCTTATTCCCCTCTCTGTGCTCAAAGTCATCAATTGTACACTCCAACGTGTGTCCTGAAGAGAATGTTCCAGACTAAAGCTATGATCCTGAGAGCCCTTGCCCTGGCTTTCCTGAGTGTCCAAGGAGCTGGGGCCATCAAAGGTGAGTGCTCTGGAGGATGCCAGAGGGCCTTAGATAAGAGGTGGGGCAGGCAGCCAGCTAATGCTATAGGAATTTGAGATTTTAGGGACTCATCAGATCTGTTTTCCTCTGTGTCCTTTTCCTCTCTTACTAGCTTATGTGAAGTTCACCTTCATGCCCTCTTGCTCTTCTCTCCTCATGAGAACCTTCATTGAAGATATTGTTATCTCCATTTTAGAGATGAAATTGCTGAAGCTTAAAAAGACTAATACATTTTTCAAGGTTATTCATTAGGTCAAAGAGCCAGACTTAAATCCAGACCTAGTTCTGATGATCACGCTCTGCAGTCCCCAGGCATCTGCACACAATGACTTTCTAACTGAACCCAGCGGGGACCTTCCTATGTCTTTTGGATCCCCAGCCCCTGCTTTGTGTGGAGACTTAAAGGGAGCTTGGTGTTGGAATCTGGGAGAGGAAGTGCTGAGAGTATTCCTGTATTCCTCTCTGTCTCCCAGGATCCTAAGACCCTTGTAGGATCTTTGTGAGTGGATCAAACCTTCCCTCCTCCTCACCTTTGGTGGTACTGGGGTTTGAACTCAGGGCCTCACGCTTGCTAGGCAGATGCTGTACCACTTGAGCCACTCCACCAGCGGGTCATTCTTCTCTCAGGGGAACAGTGTTTCATATTTTGTTCACGTCATGATTCAGGTCCTGATTTACCCATGGAAGTATAGCTTCATTGAGCGGTGTGGGCTTTGGATAAGCACAAGGACTCAGTGAGAGATGGTAAATTATGGTGAATGCCCTTTCTCCCTGCTGCTGGCATCGGGGAGCAGTGGTGTGAAGGACTAGAATTCGTAACGTAGGCTGGGCATGGATGCGCAGACCTCAGGAGACTGAGGCGGGAGGATTGTGAGTTCCAGTTCAGCCTGGGCTACATAGTGAGACCTTGTCTCAAGAAACAATACACACAGGGCTGGCAGAATGGCTCATGTGGTAGAGCACCTGCCTAGAAAGCATGAGGTCCTGAGTTCAAACCCCATACCACCAAAAAAAAAAAAAGAAAAAAAAAGAAAATTATAAAGAAACAAAACACATGCCAGGCGCTGGTGGCTCACACCTGTAAGCTTACCTACTTGGGAGGCAGAGATCAGGAGGATGGCAGTTTGAAGCCAGCCTCAGCAAATAGTTCAGGTGACCCTATCTTGAAAATACTCTAGGCTGGCAAGTGACTCAAGTGGTAGAGCATCTGCTTAGCAAGTGTGAGACCCTGACTTCAAACCCCAGTACTGTGAAAAACAAAACACAACACAAGCAAACAAAAACAAATTCATTATGTAAAAGATGCACCCTGGCCCCTAAATAGTTTAATTTGAGGTGAGGCGTCCAGGGGTGGGTAGAAGTGAACAGGAGGTGAGACTAGGGGGAAGCAGAAGTACCTAGTGCCCTGTTGATGGTCACTTGGGTTATTTTCAGTGATGTACCATACGAATGTATCTCCATATACTTTCGAAGACTTTTAGATTCTTGGTAGACATTATTAATAACTCAGAGCTGCCCTTCTAACTGGTGTCTTCCCTCTCGATATGTTTCTTTCCTTAAAAACACAAATATGAACTAAAAATAAAAATCAACCTTGCCTTCATTCATTGCCTAGAGATGCTGTCTGTGTCCTCACCCTCATAGCAAGGCTTCTGACTTTTGTCTCCAGTACATCCTGAGAAGACTCCCAACTTGGTCAACAGTAACCTCCACACAGGCTCAAACCAACGGGTGCTTTTCAGTGTTTCTCTGATTTGATTTTTGTTTGTTTATTTTTGAGACAGAATCTCACTATGTAACCCAGGCTGGTCTTGAACTCAAAACCATCCTCCCTTTGCCTCTTGAGTGCTGGGATTACAGGTGTGCACCATCATGCCAGGCTGATTAGAATTCTTGATAATATTTGCATTCTAATTCACTTTTTTTGCTTTGTAATTTCTTTTCTTTTCTTTTTTTGAGACAGAGTCTCACTATGTAGCCCAGGCTGGCCTTGAACTTGTGATCCCCTTGCCTCAGCCTCACCACCTGCTGGGATTACAGGCATGCATCACCATGCCTAGCTCACTTCTTTTGATTTATTATTGGAATCTTTTTTTTTTTTAAAGATCCTCCTTAATACACTGTGTCCTTATTTTCCTTTGTACTTCCATTATTCTCCTTTGATCTTGGATTCCTTTATTGATTTTTTGTTTGGATGACCTATCTATTTATGATAATGGGATGTTAAAGTCTCCCACAACCACTGTGTTGGCGTTTATATATGCTTTTAGGTCCTTCAGGGTATGTTTGATGAAATTGGGTGAGTTGACATTGGGTGCATACAGGTTGATAATTATTATTTCCTTTTGGTTTCTTTCTCCTTTTATTAGTATGGAATGTCCTTCTTTATCTCATTTGATCAATGTAGGTTTGTAGTCTACTTTGTCAGAGTTAAGCATTGCTACTCCTGCCTGTTTTTGGGGGCCATTGGCTTGGTAAATTCTTCCAGCCTTTCATCCTAAGCCTATGCTTATTTCTGTCGGTGAGATGGGTCTCCTGTAAGCAACAAATTGTTGGATCTTCTTTTTTAATCCATTTCGTCAAGCGGTGCCTTTTGATGGGTGAATTAAGTCCATTAACATTAAGTGTTAGTACTGATAGGTATGTGGTGATTCCTGCCATTTAGTTGTCTTAGTTGTTTGAAGGTTTGATTGTGTGTACCTAAGTTGAGGTTACTCTCTGCTGTCTTGCTTTTTCTTTTCCTGTGGTTTGGTGCTGCCTGTCTTTTCATGGTTAAGTTGGGTTTCACTTTCTGTGTGCAGAATCCCTTGCAGAACCTTTTGTAGTGGTGGCTTTGTGGTCACATATTGTTTTAGTTTCTGCTTATCATGGAAGACTTTTATTGCTCCATCTATTTTGAATGATAGTTTTGCTGGGTAGAGTATCCTGGGGTTGAAGTTATTTTCATTCAGTGCCCAGAAGATCTCACCCCACGCTCTTCTTGCTTTTAATGTTTCTGTTGAGAAGTCTGCTGTGATTTTGATGGGTTTACCTTTGTATGTTACTTGTTTTTTCTCTCTTACAGCCTTCAATATTCTTTCCTTAGTTTCTGAACTTGTTGTTTTAATGATGATATGTCGTGGAGTAGTTCTATTTTGATCTGGTCTGTTTGGTGTCCTGGAGGCCTCTTGCATCTGTATGGGAATATTTTTCTCTAGATTTGGGAAATTTTCTGTTATTATTTTGTTGAATATATTACACATTCCCTTTGCTTGCACCTCTTCTCCTTCTTCGATGCCCATGATTCTCAAGTTTGGTCTTTTGATGGAGTTGGTGAGTTCTTGCATTTTCTTTTCACAGGTCTTGAGTTGTTTAATTAATAGTTTTTTGGTTTTTCCTTTAATTACCATTTCATCTTCAAGTTCTGAGATTCTGTCTTCTGTTTGTTCTATTCTGCTGTATTGGCCTTCTGTTTTGTTTTGCAGTTCTGTTTCATTCTTTTTTCTGAAGTTTTCCATATCTTGGGTGGTTTCCTCTTTAATGTTGTCAATTTTTGTCCTGAGTTCATTTATCTGTTTATTAATCTTGTTCTCTGTTTCACTTTGGTGTTTATACAGTGCTTCTATGGTTTCCTTTATTTCTTCTTTTGCTTTTTCAAATTCTCTATTTTTGTTGTCTTGGAATTTCTTGAGTGTCTCCTGTACATTTTGGTTGACCCTATCCAGTATCATCTCTACAAAATTCTCATTGAGTACCTGTAGTGTGTCTTCTTTTAAATTATTCTTGTGGGCTTCATTGGGTCCTTTGGCATAGTTTATCTTCATTTTGTTGGAGTCTGGATCTGAGTACCTGTTTTCTTCATTCCCCTCTGGTTCCTGTACTAATTTTTTGCTGTGAGGAAACTGGTTTCCCTGTTTTTTCTGTCTTCCCGTCATTGTCTTTGGTGTTGTTACTGTCCCTGTACTGTGTGCAATTAAGTATTTTCTAGTTTGAAGTAATAACAATGGTAATATTTAGAATGGAAGGGTGAGCTGAGATGGAAAGCAAGAAGTTAAAGAAAGGGGGAAAACAAATACACAGACAAGAAGGAGAAAACAGAACAAGGTATCAGACAAGAAAGTTTCAAAGGTATAAACAGGGAGCTTTAGTGTACTAATCGACAGTAAGCTGAACAGACATTAGAGAGACAGAGAGAGGATTGAAAATCAAAAATAAAAAAAAGATAAGAATAAAAATAAAAAATAAGTAAATGAAAGAAATATCTATACATAAAAATGAATTAAAATAAGATGAAAAATAGAAAATTAAAAAAAAAACAAACCAAAAAACCAAAAAACCTCCAAGTTCAAATGCAATGAAGTTTCTGTCTTAATAATTTGGGTGTCTGTCTCAGTCTCCAGTCCTGGAGCTGGTGCCTCAGATGTTGTTCTGTAGTTGTCTCATCAAAGGGGATGCATAAAGTAGAACAAAACTACACACACACTCACAAAAACCCCACCAAGTGTCCCAAGTTCAAATGCAATACAGTTCAGTAAGTTTTTCAGCATGCAGGTGTAATTCGGTTGTTCTCTCATCAAAGGTAGGGAGAAAAAGAGAAAAAAAGAAAAATAAAACAAAAAAAAGAGTCTGGAGACAGTTCTGAGAATGGTATCTGCAGCTGTGGCTTGCCTGCCCGCTGCTGTCAGCCTGCTGTTGCTGGAGGCGTTATTTATGCAGATCTCTGGGGTGAGCTCAGCACTCAACTGGCCCTGCAGGCGTTGTTTACTCAAAGTTTTCCTGTGAGCCTCTGCTACAGGCTTTCCCCTTTCCAAGCACTGGGAAAGGTGACACTGCACCCTCATTATCAGGCCTGCGTGTTTATTTACAGTTCATGTGGGAGGTGGGTCTTCCCCCCTCTCCTGTGCAGTTTTCCTCCCACCACCACTTTCACAAGCTTTCCTGCTCCTGATTACTGGGCGGTGCTGCTGCTCCTGCCAGCCGCCATGTTTGTTTACAGCTCACATGGGAAGTGGGTCTTCCCTCCTCTCCTGTGGAGTTTTCCTCTCTCCGCCACTCTCACAAGCTTTCCAGCTCCTGGTTGCTGGGAGCGTGCCCGGCTCCCACCGGAGCCTCTCCGGCCAGGCCGGCTTGTTTATTTACAGTCCCAGGAAGGATTCCCTTCTCCCAATCTTTGGCGCTCAGTGTACCCCACCCTCTTTCCCACGTGTCTTTATTGTTCTTATTGCTTATTACTCAGTTTCTCTTTTTTGCCCGGGTGGAGGTCAGTCTGTCTAGGGGGCTATGCTGCTCTGGCCCAAGCTTGTCTGTGGGAGTACCGTGGTACTGCGAAGCTCATCTTGTCCGTGTCTTTCCAAGCCGCGGCGACTGGCAGCCTGGGGGCCCTCCTTGTTTCTCCATTTAACGTGAGGTGGAGATTCTCTGTGCCAGCTGGAGGTGTGGAGGGGTCAAAGTTTTGCCTCTTCTCAGTGATTTTGCCTGCAAAATGTGTCTCCAGAGTCTCTCCAAGATTTCATTATAGGAGGCTCGCTTTCTGCTTCCTCCCTCTAGCCGCCATCTTTGAATCCCTCCCCATTATTCTCCTTTGAAATGAATTTTTTTTTTGGCAGCACTGGGGTTTGAAATCAGGGCCTCATGCTTGCTAGGCAAGCGCTTTACCACTTGAGCCACTCCGCCAACCCTGAAGTTACTTCTTAATTGTCATGGTCCTCAGAGCTATGCCTTCACATCTCTGAAATTCTTATTTTATGTCCTCTTTCTAGAAAATGTCATGTAGTTTCTTACTTTTCTGCCCAAATCCTTCTGCCAAGACCAACCATCATGAATGTTGATGGACCATTTCTATTCAGAATGACTTTAGATTTTCTAAATGCAATCTGTCCTATACTGAACACAGAAGCTTCTCTCAGACTGTCTTCCTGTACAATCAATGGAATCTAGACTTCTCACTGGTCCTCTTCCTGTGCTGTTCTTCCCTTATTTCTTTTTACATCTGCTGTGGTCAGTTCTGCATTATCTTCTTTTTGGTGTTATTGCATCTTCCCCTATCTTTCTTTTGATCTCTTCTTTCTTTCTTTCTTTCTTTTCTTTCTCCTTCCTTCCTTCCTTCCTTCCTTCCTTCCTTCCTTCCTTCCTTCCTTCCTTCCTTCTTTCCTTCCTTCCTTCCTTCCTTCTTCTTTCTTTTCTTGACTTTTCATGTTAATACATCTTTTTTCATTCTTGTGCCTCCACTACTTATACATTTTGAACTCAGGGCCTCATGCTTGTTAGGCAGGTGCTCTATCCAACAGTCCTTTGTAGTTTGTTATTTTTCATATAAGGTCTTGCATATTTGGCCTGGGAAGGCCTTGGACTGATTGTCCTATGTTTGCCTCCCACATTGCTTAGATTATAGACATGTGCCATCATGGCCAGTGTAATTGTTGAGATGAGGTCTTGTTACCTTTTTTGCCCAGGCTGGCCTCAAACCGTGATCCTTCTGATCTTTGCCTCCTGAGTTTCTGGGATTACAGGTGTGCACTACCATGCTGGGATCATCCCCCTTTTTTGGGCAGTACTGGGGTTTGAACATGGGGCCTATGTTTGCTTGGCATGCACTCTACCACTTCAGCCACATCTTCGTCCCTTTTTGCTTTATTTTTCAGGTAGGGTCTTGAGTGTTTGCCCAGGTTGGCCTTAGACTGAGATCCTCCTATCTATGTCTCCCACATAGCAGGGATTACATACATGTACCACCATGCCTGGCCCTTACATGTATTCATTCTTACATTTTGTCTCATTTTCTCCACTTTCTTTATACAGCGGACCATGTATCAATTTATCTCGTATTAGCACAGACACACAGACCATCAGGGGAATTTATGTTTGAGCTTGATGAGGATGAGCAGTTCTACGTGGATATGGACAAGAAGGAGACGATATGGCACCTGCCGGAGTTTGGCCGAGCCTTTTCCTTTGACACTCAAGGCGGGTTGACTAACATTGCCATAATGAAGTCGAACTTGGATATCATGATCCGGCGTTCCAACCACACCCAGGCCCCCAGTGGTACAGCCTGTCTTTGCTTCTTCCTCTGCCACCAGATGGGAAGGGAGGGAGGGCCCCTATCCCACACGCAGGATGGGTGACTCAGATGCCCTCTGTTGGGTGTCCTCTTCCTTGGGTGGCCATAGGCTCACTCCAGCATAGCAAAGGGCATGTGTTCACCCTTCCCACTCAAGAGAGAGGTAGCTGAGTGAGGCTGTCAGAGGAATGGCAGTCTTGGCTCTGATTCAGGAGCCCAGAGCCTGAGGTAGAGGACACCCCCTTTGTATTTCAATCCAGAACTGGGCTCTCACAGGTTCTGTCCCCATCCAGAGCCTCCAGAGGTGACTGTGTTTCCCAAGGAGCCTGTGGAGCTGGGCCAGCCCAACGTCCTCATCTGCCACGTGGACAGGTTCTTCCCACCGGTGCTCAATGTCACATGGCTTCGCAATGGACAGCCGGTCACTGAAGGTGTTTCCGAGGGCATCTTTCTGCCCAGCAAAGACTTCAGATTCCACAAGTTCCACTACTTAGTCTTCCTTCCTTCGACTGAGGACGTCTATGACTGCAAGGTGGAGCACTGGGGGCTGGACGAGCCGCACCTCAAGCACTGGGGTATGGAGCCTCTTTCCCCTCCAGGACCTCCATGCACCCTGTGCTCCAGGACCTATTGCACCAACTCCCCACTGTCCTCATCCAAACATGCCATCAAATGGTCTATGACCTTCACCTCCACATTCCCCAGGGCAGCTCCACCCCTCACTGCAACTGCTCACCCCAAATCTTCATTCTCCCCCAGAGGTCCAGGAGCCGGTCCAGGTGACGGAGACGACTGAGACCGTGGTCTGTGCCCTGGGCCTGGTGGTCGGCCTGGTGGGCATCATCACTGGCACCATCCTCATCATAAGAGCTCTGCACTCCAAGCGCGATCCCCGGGCCCAGGGATCCCTGTGAGGTTATTGTGGAGGTGAGACCTCAGGTTCAGTGAGAGGAAAGGGGAGGGAGCCTCGTGCCTGTCGTACATAAAGAGTGGAGGAAAAGTCGGTTTGATTAAGTGTACATTGATCTCTTGATGGGTTAAAACACGGAGCTGCATAACAATAACAACACTGAAAATTTATTGAGAACTTGATATGGTCAGGCAGAGTTCTGGGTGTTTACAGTGATTACCTCATTTTATCGTCCCCAATGCTCTGTGAGGCAGGTATATGACAGTTATCACTTTACACAGGAGAGACACATCTTTTTATGTATGTGGGGGCACTGAGCAAGCTGGCCAAGGTCACACAGCAAGGAAGTGAGAAAGCTAGCACTCCAGTGCAGGAAGTCTGAATCCAAACTGTTTCTTAGCCACTGTTCTCTACACCCTGTTCTATGAAGAAAAAGACCAAGTCCAAACTCTCCAAGAGCCCTTAGTCTGGTAGTTGATCCAGATCCATATTTCCATGCATAATTGCAGCATGGAGTGATGAGGCCTAATAAACTATTTGCTTTCTCTACTCGGAATCAATGAACAGAAGCGTTTTATACATATATATATGGAATATATATTCCTTATTAAAGGGGTATAGGGTTATGTGGTACTGGGTTTCTTTTTTCTTAGGAGCCCATAATCTCTGGCTCCTTCTAGAATCTGAATGCCATGGTATTGCAGGAACATAAAGAGGCGTGCTTCCCACCTTCCCTTGAAGATATTTTTTACTTCTCCCAATCTCACAGAGCCTTTTGGGATGCAGTCAAATACCCTTTTCCTTTTACTTAACTGTGCCCTCAAAATTATGCCATCTGTCAGCACTCCAGATAAGGTGAGACAGAAACCAGGCCTTCAAGTGGCTAAAGGTATGCTCCACTCCTCATTGTCCCTCCTGGGGGACAGCCTCAGGCTCTATACCTTTCCAAATCTTGCAGGGCTGTGCCAGTCACCTCTCCTTGTTCTCATGACCCCCAGGCTTCCAATCTAGACTCTGAAAATTGGACTTTCCAAAAATGTGCTTTGTTCTGCACATCATTATTAAATTGGTGTCTGTAGGAGGCTGAGGGCTGGTTCCATCAGTGTTCTGTGTGAACGCACTGAAAGGCTGGGTTGGAGGCACACTAGACTTCACTCTCTCCCTCCTCGATGTGCACACTCTATCAATCCAGTCCTGCAGAGCTGCCTCTGGGAGGCACAGCAAGCTGCCTACCCCTTTCCTCTGTTCCTAACTTCTCCTAAGTGTCCTGACTATGCCACCAGTGCTCTGTGAGGCAATCTAGAAGTCAGTCTCCTTCCTGGGTAGTGCACTGAAGGGTCTGAATATTGTACCTGCTCTACTCTCTTTCCTCTAAGTGAGACCTTTTGGGCCAAGGAGATCTCTCTTGGTGTAATCTATGTTGGCCTGGGGAACGGGATTACATGGGTAAAGTGAAATTGCTAAACTTTGTAACTGTTTCGAGGTGGTTCTTCTCTGTTCTGTGCTTGTTTAGAGTACTGTAATTTTTTAACTGCTTTTTGGACTTTCCAAAAAAGTCTTTCGTCTTGTACATCATTAAATGAGTGTTGCTGTAGAAGGATGAGGGCTAGGGTGTCCTACTCTGCCATCTTGCTAATGTCACTCCCCAGCAGGTCTTTATTACTGTCTTGATATTATCCTGCCAAACCATGACTTCATGTTCTGCTGATTCTCTCTCACAAAGGCATTGAGGCAGGCGATGATTCTCTCAGGCCTCATGGGAGAGGGCAAAAGCAAAATATGAATGTTCAAGTTTTTCCATTCCTGTCTCTTGTCATGTGCCAAAGCAGGCTCCTCACCCCACCTCCTCCTGCCTCGTGAACTGTGATCATGACCCTTGTCCTAGTTCATAATGACTTTTGACCTCTCTAGTTATTTTTTCTGTAGTCTTTTTATTGGCATATGTTAACTGTACAAAGGGGTTGGTTTCTTGTGATTTTTTTTTTTTTTTTTTGCAGTACTGGGGTTTGAACTCAGGGCAAATCACGAGCCACTCCACCAGCCCTTTTTTGTGAAGAGTTTGAGATAGGGTGTCATGAACTATTAGCCTGGGCTGGCTTTGAACCATAATCCTCCTTTTCTCTGCCTCCTGAGTAGCTAGGATTACAGGCATGAACCACTGGCACTTGGATATTGTGTTATTTCTATACATGCATTTAATGTACTTTGATCAAATTAACCCCCCTTACTTTCTTATTCTCCCTCCCTGACGTTTAAGCAGTCTAACTGATTTGGTTATTCCATTTTCATACATTTGTATAAAGTACTTTGCTCATTTTCACTTCTGCTTCACCTTCTTCTTTTGCCCTGCCCCCTCCCACTGGTTCCCCCCTACACAAACAGTCTCCATCTTCTACTCATGTCATACATTTTTTTAAGACTAGATTCTGCATATAACAGAGAATGTATGATATATGCCTTTCTCAATCTGGTTTATTTCTATCTATTTTTCTGCAAACAACAAAATTTCATTCTTCTTTATGGCCAAATAATACTCTATCACATGTGTGTACACGCACACAAATACACACACACACACATGTCTCTTCACTCTGGCAATTGTTTCTTTTAATTTATAGAAGCCTTTTAATTTGATGCAATTCCATTTGTCAATTCTTGCTCTTCGTTCCTGAGCAATTGGAGTCCTATTCAGAAAGTCATTACTGTATCTATAGCTTCAAGTGTTTTCTTGTAGTACTTTCAAAGTTTTGGGTCTTATGCTAAGATCTTTCTTTCATTTAGAATTGATTTTTCTACAGGGTGGTATGAATCTAGTTTCAGACTCATACATGTGGATATTCAGTTTTCTCAACATCCTTTATTGGAGAGGCTGTCTTTTCTCTGACATATGTTTTTGGCACCTTTGTCAAAAACCAGATTGCTGTAGCTGTGTGAAGTTGTTTCTGGATCTTCTGTTCTATTCCATCGGTCTACGTCTGTTTTTGTGTCAGTGCATGCTGTTTTGGTACTATAGTTCTGTAATACAATTTGAAGTAAGGCATTGTGATGCCTCCACAATTGCTCATTTTTTCAGGATTGCTTTTGTTATTTGGGATCTTTTTGTGCTTGCATGTGAATTTTAGGATTGACTTTTCTATTTCTGTGAAAGATGACCTTGCAATTCTTATGGGGATTGTATTGAACCTATAGATTGTTTTCAGTAGCATAGCCACTTTCACAATAATAATTCTGCCAACCCATGAACATGGGAAGTCCTTCCATCATCTAATGTCTACTTGAATTTCTTTCTTCAAGGTTTTATAGTTTTCAGTGTAGAGGTCTTATACCTCCTTAGTTAGCTTTATTCCTAGGCATTTAATTTTTTGAGACTATTGTGAAATGGAATTATTTTCCTAAATTCTCTCTGTCTTTTGATTAGCATGATTTTCATATGTTGATTTTTTATACTTCAATTTTGATAAACCAGTGTTTATCAGCTCTAAGAGCTTTTTATGAAGTCTTTAGGACATTTGAAGTTTATGATCATATCTATAAATAGGGACGATCTGAATTCTTCATTTCCTATTTGTATCCCTTTTATTTCTTTCTCTTAACTTATTGTGCTGGCTAAGAATTCAGGTACTATTTTGAGTAGGAGTGGAGAGAGTGGAAACCCTTGTCTCATTCCTGATTTTAGAGGAAATAGTTTCATTTTTCCTCATTTAGGATGATGCGGGCTATAGGTTTATCATATATAGCTTAAGTTGAAGTATATTCTTTCTATTCCTAGTTTCTTCTGGGATTTTATCATGAAAAGGATGTTTAATTTTGTCAAAGGCTTTTTCTGCATCTATCGAGCCAATCATGTGATTTTTGTTTTTATTCTGTTTACGTGCTGAATTACAGCTATTGGTTTTCATATGTTGAACCATCCTTGCATTCCTGAAGTGAAACCAACTTGATCCTGGTGATGATCTTTTTAATGTGTTTAATGTGTTATTGAATTTTGTTTGCAAGTATTCTATTGAGAATTTTTGTGTCTATATGCATCATAGAGATTGGTTTGTAATATTGGCCTCAGTATAAGTTTGGTAGTTTGAGGAATATTGGTGTCACTTTTTTAAAGGTCTGGTAGAATTCAGTAGTGAATCCATCCAGTCCTTGGCTTTTCTTTATTGGGAGACTCTTTATTACTGCTTAAATTGTGTTGTGTTGTGTTGGTTATAGATATGTTTAGGTGATGTGTATCCAGTTGACTCAATTTTTATAAGTCATATACATCTAGAAATTTATTCATTTCCAGACTTTCCAGTCTATTAGAACATAGTTTTTCAAAGTATCCCCTAATGATCCTCTGGATTTAATTGGTGTTTGTTGTGATATCCCATTTCTCATCTTTAATTGTATTAATTTGGGTTTTCTGTCTCTTTATTTTGATTAGTTTAACTAAGGGTCTGTTAATCTCATTTATCTTTTCAAAGAATCAATATTTGTTTCATCAATTCCTGATATTGTTCTTTTTGTCTCCTTTTTGTTAATTTATGCCCTAATCTTTTTTCTTTCTTTCTTTGTTTCTTCCTTTTATCTTATCTTTTTACATTTTTTTGTATGTGTATACATTGTTTGGACCGCCTCACCCCCTCCCCTCTGTTATTTCTTTCTGTTTTGGGGTTTGGCTTGTTCTTGTTTTTCTAAGAGCTTGAGATGCATCATTAGGTTATTTATTTGAGATTGCTCTGATATTTTAATGTAGGTGCTCATAGCTATAAACTTTCCTCTTAGCACTCACTACCTTTGCTGTATCCCAAAAGTTCTGGTAAGTTGTATTTTCATTTAATATTTTTTTTGGCAGTACTCAAGGTCTTCACCTTGAGCCACTCCACCAGCCCTATTTTTGTGAAGAAGTTTTCAAGATAGGATCTCATGAACTATTTGCCTGGGCTGGCTTCCTCCTGAGTAGCTAGGATTAGTAGCAGCAATCCTCCTGATCTCTGCCTCCTGAGTAGCTAAGATTACAGGAGTGAGCCATTGGCACCTGGCATTTCATTTGATGCTAGGATTTCTTTCATTTCCCTCTTATTTCTTGGATGACCAAGTGATTATTTAAAAGTGAATTGTTCAGTCTCCACGTGTTTGGATATATCCTGTAGGCTCTCTTGTTACTGGTTTCTAGTTTTATTCCATTGTTGTCTGATAAAATACAGGAAATTATCTCAATTATCTTGAATTTGTTAAGATTTGCTTTATGTCCTAAGATATTTATTTTAGAGAAAGTTCCAGATGCTTCTGTGTATTTTTTGCAGTTGTTGGATAGAATATTCTATAGATTTCTGTCAGGTCCATTTTATCTGTAGTGTTAATTAATACTGAGGTTTCCTTATTGACTCTTTGTCTGGATGATCTGTGTGTTGGTGACAGTGAATTGTTCAGTCTCCATGTGTTTGAGTATTTTCTGCAGTTTCTCTTGTTATTGATTTCTAGTTTTATTCCATTGTGGTCTATAAAATAGAAGAGGTTATTTCAATTTTCTTGAAGAGCTAGTTTTTGACTTGTTGACTCAGAGGTATCTGTGAGACAACTAAGTGGGAGGGGGGTCCAGTTAGCAGTTAGAAGTGGATATATGAAAGTAAGTGGAGAGGAGCAGTCTGGGGATTACTTTGGTGGCAATCATTGTGGAAGAGGAGGAGAGGATGAGATGGTCCAAGATGGTTGTTTATAATAAGAATAACATAATGAAGAGAAAGAAGAATTCCAGATGCTATAAGAAAGTATAGAAGTTAGGGCTGGGAGGACAGACAGGAGAGGGATGAACTTGACGTAGGGGTAAAATTTGAACTTGACTTAGGGATAAAGTTTAAGGGGGGAGTACCAAAAAACTCAATTATCAAAATAAATAATATTTTAATCAAATATCTTAAAAATAAAAATTAGTGTAAAATACAGAATTCATAAATGTCAAAAGAAAAGATTTCAAAGAAAATGGAGAAAAAAGACGAATGAGAATATGTAACACATAATCCACAGGAATAAAGAATTTCAGGAAGGAGGAAGTACTGAGGTGTTCTAAATGTTTCACACAGAGTATTTTTCATATGAAAAATATACATTGGTTTTGAAATCCTTTCAAAAATCACTTTTGTACCATGTGAGCCCTGATCGTTCATTGCCATCACTCCAGAGTAAAGCTTCTTCTCTGAACTCAGTAATATGACCCTTCTTCTCAGGATATTTTGGAGACTTGACCCCAAAGTCAACTGGGACTTGGGAGTGAAGTTTATCACCTTAGGGTACCTATTGACTTTAACTGCTGCTAAGGTGGAGGACCAGGTCATGTACAGGGATAACCACATTCTCAATCGGCCCTGATAGGGCAGAAAAATGGGGGATCAGCTGTAAAGAGAATGGGGAAAGTGTGTCCTAAACTCAAGGATGTCAGTAACTGTGTGTGTCTTGCTGCAGGTGACAATGTTCCTGAAAAGAAGAGGACTTGGGAGAGCTCTGAATTACAACTGCCCTCCAAACTCTAGCCTCAGCTTCCCTTCTCTATTCCTGTGCTTTCTGTTCCATTGCCCGCCTTTATTGCTGGCCCTTCAAGAATTTATATGTGACCTTAAGGCATTCAGTCTAGTTCCCAACAAGTAGAAAGTAGTGAATATACATTAGTATTTTGTAGCACTAGCATGGAGATTATCCCTTCACTGAGCAGCTCATTCCCTGGTTTCCTTTGAACAACCCTTCACTGCTCCCTTCCTGAGTATCCCCCGAGATCAATAAATTCTTCTATCTTTTAGATTCTGAGTTCTTCTTGCTGGAAGTTGGGAACAAGATCACATATGACTAATAATTTATCTAAGTGTGGTTTCCAGTTGGGTTATGGATATAGTTACTGAAGGTTCTGACACCACCTGGGTGGAAGAATCTGAGAATTTTTGATTCAGCCCTGAGTTATTCATTAACCACAGGATAAGGTGGGGTGGAGAGAGGATAATGGGGAAATGTTGTTGAATGAAGGTTTGGTTGGATGTAGTTTGAAGACTGCAGTAATTGGAATCTCTAAGGGAAGAGATTTACTCTGTCTGGATCAAGATTTCAGGTAGACCTGAATTCTACCCACAACCCTCAGCTTCTTACTTATGGCCATATTATATCTATTGTGAAGTATGTTTTTTATATGATAAGAAAGAAAATAAGAAAGTATACTAATTAATTCCTGCTGTAGTCAGTCACTCCATGTGGGAGACCTTAAATTAAGATTAGCAGAATTTTCAGTTAAAGTTTTGAGGAGAACAGTGCTGAAAATGTAGAAAAGTCTCTTATTTGAGCAAAATTTTGTTACTTTATAGAATGTTCTGTATGTTAATATGAAAGAGTATGAGATAGTAAAAATGCAGATAAATATAAAAGCTTATTATCCTTTTTTTCTTACTTTTAATGCTTTTTAAAAAAATTATTTAAGTAAATTACAATGATATATTTTTGGGTTTATAACCCATAAGTAAAATGTATGAGAACAATAGCACAGATAGTAAGAGGGGATGGAAGTGTAGTGTTGTAAGGTTCTTTGTAAAATAGTATATTACTACTTGAAGGTAGAACATATTAACTTAAAGATAAAATTTCAAACACTGCAGACACTACTAAAAAAAGAGATATCACTAATAAGCCAATGGAGAAGGTAAAATGCAACAGTATGCATAGTTAATCCAAAATAAAGAAGCAAGAGGGAAAATGTGATAAAAGAGAAAACATATTATAAGGCAGTCAACAACAACCATGACAATTAATAAAATGCAGTCTTAACAGAAGTATCGTTAGAGTGCATACACAAAAAGTATAGGTCAACTATGTGCTGTATACATGGCGCTTGCTTTATATATGAAGACAAAGATAAGTAACGAATAAAAGGATGGACAAGAAATGCTAACCAGGGGAATGTTGGTGGCTGTATTAATGTCAGAAATATAGAAATTTTACCAGGAATAAAGAGGGATAGTTTAGCAAGGCATGGTGGCACACTCTTGCAATCCCAGCTGATTGGGAGGCAGAGTCAGGAGGATTGTGGTTTGAGGCCAGCCCAGGCAAAAAGTTAGTGAGACCCTATCTCGAAAACAAGCTGGGCATGGTGGTTCATACCTGTTGTCCAGCTACTCTGAAGGCACGGCAGGAGGGCTGCAGGACTCAGCATGAGACCCTCTCTGAGAAGCAAACTAAAGCCAAAGACCTGGGAGCATGGCGCGTGTTCTGTTCCTGGAACCACAAAAAAGGTGTGTGTGGGAATAATTCATGCTGATAAGAGGAACATATATATATCAAGAACATATAGCAATCCTGAATGTGTGTGCCCCTAATAAAAAGCTTCATCTCATCCATGTGATAAATTAAATGAAAGCAATAAAAGCATAAATAGACAGAGCCACACTTATGTTTTAATATCCCAGCACTATTCTTTCATTAAATAATAGAATAATTAAACAAAAAATCAGTACATATACTGGAATATTTGAATAACATTACCAACCAATCAACATGATCTAATAGACATCTATAGATTAGTCCACCCAATGGCACCAGAATACACATTATTTTCAAGTCCACATAAAATGTTGCAGATGGTAGGCTATATACTGAGTCACAGAAAGTCTCAGTAAGCTTAGGATGGTCAAAATCATGCAGAATACATTCTCTGATTGCAGTGGAATTAAATTAGAAAGCATAGCTAAAAATAGCTGGAAAATCTCAAGTATTTAGGAATTAAAAAACATACTTTTAAAAAGCACTTGTGTTAAAGAAGAGTCCAGAGAAAAATTAGAAAGTATTTTGAACAGGATGAATATGAAACCACTGCATCAAAACCTGTGTGGTGCCCAGGTATAGTGGTGCATACCTGTAATTCTGGCATGTTCACATGATCACATGAGCTACATAGTTGAGGTCATCCAGGATATATGGAGGGATCCTATCCAAAGAAAATAATAAAAGTCTGTGTGATACAGGAATAGAGAATAATTTGTATCTTTCATGATTAGAAAATAGGAAAACTCTAAATATCAATTATCTAAGTTCCATTCTTAAGATGCTAGAAGAAGAAGACAAATTAACCATAAATAATTTCTCTTTTATAACAAAACACCAGAGGCTGGATACTTTATAAAGAGGTTTATTTGCTCACAGTTTTGGAGGCTGAAGGTCTCAGTTTGGAGATCCCATCCGTTCAGTCTCTGATGAGGGCCCCTTGGCTGCATCACAACATGGTTGAGAAATGGAAAGGGAACTGGCTGTGTGTAGGAGGAATCTGTAGCAACGGGAAGCCAGACTAGGCAGGGGACAGTCTTACGCTTTTGATGACACCAATTTCATGAGAACTTACTCCATGAGACCAGCATTAATCCTTCCTGAAGGCAATTCCTTCAATAACCTACTCACCTCACACTAGGAGAGACAGTGTCCGTTTATGTAGCCCTGGCTGAGCTTGAACTCTCAACATAGCTCAGGCTGGTCTCAAACTTGTGATCCTCCTGCCTGCGTCTCCTGAGTGCTGGCATTAGAGGCCTGTGCCACCACAACTGGCTTCCATCCCTCTTAATAGCACCATAGTGGGGGCAAAACCACCAGGACATTTACCGAATTCAAAGCCATAGCAACCCAAGATTCGTAGTAAGAGCAAAAATAAGTGAAATAAAGAATGGACAAATGATAGAGAAAATTAACAAAATTGTGGATTTTTTTTTTGAGGCAGGGTCTCATTCTGTAGCCCAGGCTGGCCTCAAACTCATAACTCTCCTGTCTTAGCCTCTCAAGCATTGGAATTACAGGCATAAACCACCATGCCCAGCTTCCAAAACTGGTTCTTTAAAAAGCCAATGCATTGATAAAGCTTTGATTAGATAGTTTAAACAACAAAAAGTAAATAAAAGATTCAAATCATAATATCAGGAACAAAAGTGGGGTATATAACAACAGATCATACAAATGTTAAAAAAAACCCAAAATGTGTTTATAAACTTTATAGCTCATATTGTCAAATTGAATTTGGCCTAAAGCTGCCTCCATATTTTGAGCTCTTCGATTGAAACCTAATTTAGCGATGTAAACAAACTGCAACTTAAGATTATATTCTTGTAATAAATACTTGAGTCTCAGCCAATCGGAGCAGTTGAGGTTCAATCAGTCACATTCTGACAACTGATCAGACCCCATTCATGTAAGGCAAATAGCTCATTACACTGTGCCCAAATAAGGCAAACACAGAGCTATAACCAATAAAGCTTTTCCTATATGTCACTTCCTATTTCTTTCCATAAATACTTACCCTCATTGCTGGGCAAACCTCTCCAGGTTTGGAGGGCTGTCTGATTCATGAATTGTTCCTCACTTAAATAAACTGTGCTAAATTAATTGTATGAAAGCTTTCTTTTAACAATACGAAACAGCATTCCTTTGAAGTTTTTAAATTACCAAAACTGACTGAAGAACCCTGAATAAATTTTCTTTTCTTGCTTTTTTTTTTTTTTTTTTTTGGCAGTATTGGGGTTTGAACTTAGGGCCTTACACTTGCTAGGCAAGTGACACTCAGTGTCTGAGCTATAGACTCGGCCAGCAAGAGGAACAAGTTTCTGGCCTTGGTAGAGATAGAAAATTCACTCCTCATTTCCTCATAAAAGAAGTGAAAAACTTGGTATGAGGATCTCTCATGGGTATCAGTTACTAATTTGAGGTGCATCAGAGTCCTGGGGTCAAGGCCCTTTTCATCTATCCTTACACTAATTATATGTCCCTGTTTTCAATTGGATGGCTTAAGTACAGTGAAATTTACAGGGTTACAGGTGCCAGGAGTGCAGTCAGGGGCAGCTGTCCCTTTGTGAGAGGGCCATGTGTTTTGCCCTTTGCCAGTAGCCCATGAAACACAGCCCAATACCAACAACAGTAGGAGCCCACATCATCACATCACTGTTATCCCACATCCTGGCAAAGAGTTGTCTCTCTGGCACATACACTTATCATTTGATGCATCAAAGCACATTGACACTGGTTTATCAGGGTTAAACACCTGGGTGCTGCTGACGAGGTTCCCAGGGTTGCGGTCGCTCAGGATCTCTAACCATTGCTCCCGAGGGTGTTAAGTGGGGTTGAAGCAGATATGCTGATTACCATGGGAGCACACTAGATAGGTGGTATGGTTGCAAGTGCATGACCTGATGATGGAGCCTGCACAGGAATAGTAAGTATGGAAAAGCAAAGTCCTGGTGACAACACTTCCTGCTTGAGTAGTATGCATACATAGGTCACAGGATGAGGGCTCTGGGACCACAAAGGGAAACCAGATCAGTAACAATAAATAGTAATTATATATACTGCCCAAAAGAGGTAGACAAGAGCTAATAAAAGCTTTTCATCATGGGTCCAGTTGGCTATGGTGGTTTCCACCAAACCTATGGTAAAAGTTAGGGTGAGAACTACAGCAATGGATACAGACAAGGGGTGACAATGCATTATAGTAAAATAACCAACAGGGTCCACCGCTGCCTCCTTCTGCCGCTGTGGTGCTGCTTGTGTGCTCGTTCAGTGTGGACCGGGTATCTCTTTTGTGAAGCAGCAGCTGAGGAGACTCTGGCGTTTGCCATGGCCGACGAAAAGCCCAAGGAAGGAGTCAAGACTGAGAACAACGATCATATTAATTTGAAGGTGGTGGGGCAGGATGGTTCTGTGGTGCAGTTTAAGATTAAGAGGCATACAACACTTAGTAAACTAATGAAAGCCTATTGTGAATGACAGGGTTTGTCAATGAGGCAGATCAGATTCCG